TTCTAATGGTACAATTGAACACACCCTTGGAAGGCTTGAAAGACCAGATTAGGAACATACCATCATGGAAAAAATCAGTCTACATGGTCTCTTTAAGAGCTGACAATGGCATCATTACTGACACAGTAGCACAATGGTTACCACAACTGTTGGTTTGAAATACAGTGTAAATGTTTTTTAATTACTATCTTTCTTTCCCTGAGCTATCAACTTTGTCCCTGGGTTTTTTTAAAATAAATCTAACAATATATTGTTTCATCAATTCATCATTTAAAGGAAAAGGGTTACATTCCTTCTTGATTTCACCTTGACTGGAGCAATGTTAAAATAATGTACTAATGGATTAAAAATAGGTAGCTCAGAAAAAAATAGTAATAAAAATTATGCCTAAATGAGCAACTTTCTGTTCACAAGGCACATGTTCCTCCTATTGTAGTATTACTGATAAAGATAGCATTAGAGACAAAAGGATGGTAAGAATTTTTATTTTAAAGTGTGATGCTTTGTTTGCAGGCATGTGCATTTTGATGCTTTAACTTTATATATGAATTTTATACAAGCACATTTTATACAAAAGTTAAGTCTAGGAAGACTTACCCACTTGAAGTAAATAATCAATACTTTCTTATAACAAAATGGTGGAAAGACATAGCAGCAAGATTGTCTAATGGGAGCACATGCTAACCTTCTTTCCATACTAAGTAACTTGAAATCCAGTGCATAGTTACTCAGTCTAAAATCAGTTTTCTTAGAATATGAGCAGAAGACAGGAGCATCTTAAGCATGTGATGCATATATGCTCTAAGATGCATCAAACCTCAATTGCTGTCTAAGAAACAACACTTCTAGAAAGAACAAACACTTAAAAGGATTATACTCAACAATAAAGCCAAGATAGCAAAGAACAAAATGTTAAGTGGGATTCTTCTAGAATAGAATGTTCTATTCAACATTCAGATCCAAGAAGATGGTGTTAAAACATAACTTCAAAAAAAAAAAAAAAAAAAACATAACAGATATTAAGTTCTCCAACTGGTTAAGAAAAATCAAAAGTGCAAAATAGGGATGTCTGGCTTGGTACCAGTATGTGTAAGAAAATCTAGCTGAAATGAACTGTTGTGCGGCAGTTATTAAGGCTACTGAGATGTTAGGTTGCATTAACATCCAGATCATGGGAAGTAATATTTCCACTGTACACTTCATCTGGACTACTAGATTTATTTCTAGGCACCCTACTTTAAAAAGATCATGAAGAAGATTAAAGAAAAGCTACCAAAATTGTGAGTTTTCTGGAAATTAAGCCCCATGAAGTTGTTTCAGGAGCTGGCCATTTTAGGACATACTGTGGCTCTCCCCTCACTGTTTTTTTTTCCCCCAAATTTTGAACTATATGAAAACCCTTCTGATTCATACATTTTACAATTCTGCAGAAGGAAAAGTAGCAGTATTATAGAGTTGTAGACGGAACAGATATTTTATTTCTCTTAACAAACCATTGCTGCTTTCTGACTGACATTTATTTTTTGTTCAATTGATTTAAATTTATTTAAATTAAAACAGCCATCTAGAAATCTTTTAAACCAGCTAACTAATAGTGTTAATTCCCTTTGTGCAAAATACCTTAGGCATCAAGTAACAAATTCTTTTTAAATATTTCTAATAAAAATATCCAGTTGAAACGATGGGGTAAAACACACCATGATGTTTTGTTAAAACATATTCTGTGAAAAAAAAAGGTGGAATTGTTTCTAATTCTAATAAGAGTTATTGGGGATCTGAAGTGAGGATTGAAGATTGGAAAGGCATTTATTTGGCTTTGTGCCCAGGCTAAATGTAACCTCTTCTGAATTATTTTCTTACCAGCTATATCTAAGGAGGGGACGAATGCTGATAAAAAAAGCACTATACTACAGTACCGATCATCAAACATTCAATGGGATAAACATTCAGGGCCATGTCTCTTAGAACCAGACAAAACAAGGGAGAGAAAGAACACCATGTGCCTTGCATTTTAATGCTCCTACAAACAGAGAGTGGGGAAGTGAGGAAAGAGCTTTCAGCAATTTATTCCATGTAGTGGGATAGCTTCCTTGAAAAACAAAACAAAACAAAAAATACAGGGCTACTCAATAGCTTTGAAACTCATCAAATTTGATACTTAATTCATTTTCACAAATTTTTGTCCTGATACTTGTTGTTTTTTTGATACACAACGCACAAGAAGGTCGTGGTGTTGGTTGCTTCATGATTTGCTGCCCTTTCCAGCTGACACAAAGGGTAATGCGTCGGTCACACTGTAGCTCTTGCCCTGCACCCAACTCTGTGCAGTCTTATCTTAGCTTCTGTGGTCGTTTTGTGTATTTTTGTGCTTTTTTCCCCCCTGATCAGTACAGGTAAAGTGAAGTTTTTATTTTCGTCAATCTTAAGTATTTATTAATGTTTAGATTTATTTTTCATGTAATGATATACAATCCTATCTTTTTACATATTGCCTTAAAATGGGCATTGTCTTTGGTTTGGGAATGCATTAAATTTATTTATGTTATTCCTTATGGGAAAAATTTGTTTGGTACTCAACACTTTAGCTACTCATTGTGCCTCCTGGAACCAAGTAACAATGAGCACTGAGGTACCACTGTATACTGGGGGGAGGGGCGAAGGGGAATTAAGGCCGAAGGAGAATTCCCTAAAGGGGAATTAAAAGTGGAGATACACTCTTTCATCTGAATGGTGTATGACAGGGGTCCCCAACCTTGGCCACTTTATGACTTGGGGACTTCAACACCCAGAATTCCTCAGCCAAGGTTGGGGACCTCTGGTGTATGACACACAGAGTGTTTAGGTTAGTGTGTTTTCTAGTCAAGTCATATGCCCTTCCCCATGTCTTTGGCTGTGCTGCTCTGTGCAGGCCGTGCCCAGAGGCAACTCTCCTCCGGGGGACTGCTGGTGAGGAGGGGGCCATGGGGAAAGGCGGGTCTAGGGCGACAGTGCGCCTGCCCACAGAGAGGGCTCTGAGTGCCGCCTCTGGAATGCATGCCATAGATTCACCACCAATGATATACGGTTTCCTGCCTGAGCAGGGGGTTAGACTAGAAGACTTCCAAGGGCCCTTTCAGTTATTTTGCTACCTGAATGCATCTATCTGTAGGATCTTGTTGTTTCCATTAGAATGATGGAAACAGCATCAAAGTGCAAACTCTTTGAGACATGTGATAACTGAAAATACCACCCAAGATATATTGTGTGTAAAAACAGAGTATGTTCCTCCTCAAATGCAGTGGAAATCATGTAAAACCCTGTTATCAAACGCCCTTATTTCCAGCAGAGAAGAAATGGAGGACAACCATGAATTTCCTGCCTGCTGAATGTCTTTTCATTGCTCTAGGCCACCTTTGATTCATCAGAATCTACGAGGGAGGAAATGTTGCAGATCCCGTTCTACAACTTCAAAGATGAAACTCCTGGTATGAGTTATAATGCTGTGCAGTTCGTGCATCTGAATCAATACTGTTCAGAAAAAGCAGTACATTTTTAGAAAAAAAAATCATAAAAGTGGTCTGAAAAACCCCAAAACAAAAATAGCCTGGAGGTAAAAGAATGACACAATGCTTCGTGAAATGCACAGCTGAGCCCAGGTGCTGCACTGAGGGTGAAATCCCTGTTGTGGAACTTATTTTGTGACCTTGACAAGTAATAGTATTTCAGCTTAACTTACCATGCTACAGTGAAATAAAATGAAAAAGGAAGAAGCATGCATGCAGCCCTAGGCTCCTAAAAAATGGGTGGAACATCTAGTAAACAAGTATATAGCTATGGTCCATGTTTTCATACTGAAGAGGTCATTTCACAGTGGTAACTGTGCACACTTACAGCAATTAACATCATATTAGAGGTAGTCATTTTCTTACAATCTTTTGTTTAGCAGCCAATGTTACAACGCCACTGAAAAAGGTGGCCTCCAACTGGTCCTCACACTTAGTTGTTACAACATCCCCCAGTCACATGATCAAAAATTGGGTGCTTGGCAATTAGCAATTATTTATAATAGCTGCAAAATCTTGGGGTTGTTTGAACACCATTTGCAACCTCCCCAGACAAGCAAAGTCAATGCAGGAAATGGATTTGCTTAACAATCACAGGATTCACTTAACATCTGCAGTGATTCGCTTAACAACCATGGCAAAAGAGATCATAAAATCGAGTGTGACTCATTTAACACCCACCTTGCTTAGCAATGGAAATTCTGATCCCATTGTGATTGTATGTTGAGAATGACATCTATAACAGTTAAGTTTCTTCTCACATGCTCCTTCCATTATACCAGCTCTCTGACATTGTCTGCTATGTGCTACACTGATTCTACAATAAATGGTGCTTCATAGATTGCAAGTAAAATAATATTCTTGGGTTAAAACTACATTGGAGAAATATAACTGTCTGCAGTAAAATTTCCAAAATATCACCAGCTGCTACATTTATTATGCATTACAATATACACACAAATATATATTACAGTATTTGGTTTTATATTCTTCTGTTTGACATGGTTGCGAGACCCACGACAGCAGTACGGCTGCATCTGATTTCTGTCACCTATTTAGCACCACTCAGGGAAGACGCGTAGCTTAAGAGATCTTAGGGATGTGAGCGACTTTCGCTCCCCATGATTGTGTAAGATTGCCCATGACATGCGTTCTCTGGTTCGTTAAAAGATCTGCATAAAGCAATGGCAGAGGTGATTGCATGGATAGCTAAACTGAACATCCAGTTATGAGGCCTCTGTCATATCCTGTAGACATTTTCTATATAAATGTGAATTGTATGTATGTGTTTACTTCTCTTTGTCATGTTCTCATCATATGCTAAAGAAATAAATATTATTACATGCCATGCTGCAAAAGACAGTTTATTTAAATACAAGAGAAAAAGTAAAATGAAAATAATCAACATAAATTTAAAAAATCATAGAAAGATGTAGCGTTAAGTCTCCCATTCCCACTGAAAGCCTGTCATATTTTAAGATTTTAACCCCCTTGTCCCACACCTGGGACACACCAGTACAAGGGCTACCACGCATAAGATGTATCACTGGACTTGCACTCTTTATCTCAAGTTGAGTGGGGACGCTCAGCAGTTCCTCTTAGGAAAGGATAGGCTAGCACTGGTGATGTCAGGTAATGAAAAATTCGCAAACAACAAAGCTCAGAGGGCATCCAGAACTTTATTCGCTAAATCTGGATGAGAACTACAGTATAAATGTATGGGTCCTTGGTCATGTAAAGCTTTATGGGATAAAACAGTACTTCAGATGTGATCCAGAAGAATACAGTAGTCCTTGATTTATGGCTTCCATTAAGCCCAAAATTTCTATTGCTAAGCAAGACAGTAGTTAAATGAATCATTTTGTGACATTTTTGCCATAGTTGTTAAGCAAATCACTAAAGTTAAATGAATCATGTTATTGTTAAGAGAATGGATATCACTATCTCAGGACACTGAGATGCTGCAACCATCATAACCAGGCATCCAAAGTTTGAATCACATGACTGTGGGACCAGAACTCACGGTCTCCCGATTTCTAGGCTAGCACCTTAACCATTACACCAAATTGGCTCTGTTTAAATTTTGTCAAACAATATTCCAACGATCTGAAATCCCTCAACCAAATAAAAAACTGTCAACAAGCTTGAACAGTTATGAAAACAGCATTTATACACTACTGGAAGAAGGTTTTGGTGTCCAACACTAAAATTTGGCTTAATGAAATTTGTAAACCTTCAGACTTTAAATTAGGTTTGTATTAGAAAAGAGGCAATGGAGGAATGAAAAAGTTTTTGGAAAAAAGGTAAGAAATAAAAGCAGAATCACAGCAGATGGCACCAGCTAGTCAACTTTGGCTGACGTTAGAGTTAGCAGAAACAAGCAAAATTCAGACCTGCGTAGTATTTGTATTGAAATTCATCCAGCTAGCTTGGAAAGTCAAAATAATATCCCATCCTGCTTGATTTCCAAGAAAACAACATGTGGAGTCACCAGGAATCAATCTTAACCCCAAGGAGGCTTTATCTTTAAAATACAACATATAGAATAATAAATAAGGCTGTCCATAAATGTAGCTATCTAATGGTTGAAAAACTGTAGCCAGGTTTGGGGACTTCGTTGCTTCTTCTCTATCCTGATCCTCCCTGAGGCAGAATTTTGGACAGCTGGAAAACTAGCATCTTCTTTCCTGCTATTTTATACAGCTCTAATAAAATTTCCCAAGTAGAAATAATGATGATGGTTCCCGAGCCAGCAAAGCTGCGATTGCTGTTTTGTAGAAACGGAGGGAATTCGCAGGGGGAAAAAAAAAAAGATTTCGGGGACAGACGCGAGCCAGGCCCTGTTGTCCAGGGGAAAATCAGAGGATCTTTTGGCCTAGATAAAAACATGCCCTGTTTTTATTGTTATTATTGCTCCGTGAATTGGCCTCCAATAAAATGCAAACAAGGCATACCAGGCTCATTCGAATACGGCTGGGCTGCCGGTCGCTCCCGGGGATGCTCCTGCCAGCTTCCCTTCGGCCTGCCTAATGGGCAGGAGCCAAACGAGCGAGCGGCGTCAGCGAAGGAAGCCCGAAGGCGGGCGCTGGCTTGGAGAACAGGAGCGGGCGCGGCGGCGGTAGCCCCGCCCTTTCCCCTCCTCCGGTGCGGCCCTTTCTGTGCGCATACCGGGCTGGAGTGGAGCTGCTCGCCAAGCTCGCCATGGAGGGCGTCCGCTCCGCCTCGGTGCTGGAAAACGGCCACCCGGCCGCTCCGCCACCAGCGGCAGCGGCGGTTTCCCCACCGCGCTCCTCCTGCGCCTCCAACCTCTGGATCCGCCTGAGGGGAAAACTTTGTACGTGGTGAGTAGCCAAAGCGGGCAAAGGCGCTTTGCAGCAACGCTGGCCGGGGAGGAACGGCTGCAGCTGCGGGTGGAAGGGAAGGGAGAACCCCGCGATTTTTTAAGCTCCCTCCCCTCCCGAGGCGATCGACCCACCGCGCTCGGGTTAGCCCGCTTCTTTCAAGCGGAGAGCGAGGACGCCCTGGTGGCGGGACGCAGAGGGCTGGCGTTTCCAGTCCTTCGCACGTGCTTCGTCTGCCCCGGCTTCCAGCCTTTGTGAACTTCAGATTGGCAGCTGGTTCGCGCTCCGGGTTAGAAATCTTTTAAAGCTAAACTGGAAACGGAAAGCGGGAAAGAGAGGAAGGCTCGGAGACTGGTTGTGTTTAAGTTAAGCCCCGGGAAGGGAGAAGGGACCTGCCGCCCTTCGCACATGCTGCACTTCCAATCCATTATTTGATATACGAGCTCTAATACAGAACACGTGTTTTCTGTGCGTTTATGCTTGCTGGAGAACTTATAAAAATCATTGTCAAAAGCATTACAGGATTTTTTTTCTTTGAGGAGAAATGACATGATCACCAGCAGAATACAGTACTATCCAGGTTGACCTTTTTGAGTTACAAAGTTCCAGGACCAGGTGACAAATCCCTGATGTTCCTAACTGCAGAGATGCAGATAGGAGTCTCCTTCACATACGTTTAACTTCTGTTGACTTTGAAGACACAACCGAGTAGTTTTCTTGGCAATAGTATGAAAGTGGCTCAGTGTTGCCACCTATCGTGTTGCTTTTAATCAACTTTCCAATCTAGCATGCAACCTTGCTCTGCTGGTAGGATAAGCCTGGTCTGAAGGCTACTCAATACCAACTATGTGCTGCTATCCGTTGATTTTAAGAACTATGAGACCTCTGGAGGGAAAGACAAGAGTGAACAGTTGAAGATGAATAGTGCCCAAAATGATTTGTGGGATGTCAGATACCTTGTCCTTTAGAAGAAAGGTGGGGAATCTGTGGATGGACTTTTCAGATGTCCTTAATTTCAGCAACCCCAATTAAGCAGCCAAACAGAAGTATATCCAGAGTTATATATTGTCTGGAGAGTCACAAATTCTCAATTCCTGTTTTAGAGAATGGCCTAAAGATGATAATTCAGAGATGCCAGAAGGCTTATGAAAGAAGCTATCAATTTTTTATTTCTAGTTATTGCTATTTGGGAGATGGCTGTGTGTGTGTGTGGGGGGGTTTGAGAAGTGTAAAATATAAATAAAATATGAATAATTGCTTTGGTTTCTTAGCTTTATGTGGACTGAACCAGGGGGTTTCTATGTGGAAAACCGATATCCCTCCTTTTAAAATTATACACCTCTCCACAAAGCAAAACTACTTTTCCAGGAAGCAATGGACTAATATTATTCCCTGATAGAGAATAAAAATGCATACCCAAACTTCACTTATCTCTTCTTTTCTAAACCTGTAGTTGTAGTGGCAAAGCATGTTTTGCTGGATACTAAATCCATTTGAGGGAATTGTACAATATATAAATAATGAAGGAAATAGTTTATTATTGGGTTTCCATGTCAGCTGTCATCTCTGTTGACTTGAGCCATGGTGGATGCAGCATTGCAGGCTAACTGTACCCATAGCTCCAGGAGTTCAGTCCTGACTGGCTCAAGGCTGACTCAGCCTTCCATCCTTCCGAGGTCGGTAAATGAAAACCCAGATTATTGGGGGCAATATGCTGAGGTTGTAAACTGCTCAGAGAGTGCTGTAAAGCACTATGGAGAGGTAGATAAGTCTAAGTGCTATTTGCTATTGCTACGTAATGTTGGAAAAAACTAGAATTATCATATTGGTTTGTAACTGACCAGGTTAAATAATTTAATATAGCTACTGTGTGTGGGCCCAGGATGTAATCAACATACTTATGAAGTCTGCCTGAAATCTGTATTAACATTACAAAAGTGCATAGAGTGACTCACAACAGACATACATAGGCAGTGTTGGCTCTTATATACAGGAAGTCCTCAACTTACAACAGTTTGTTTAGTGACCATTCGAAGTTAGAATGGCACTGAAAAAAAAGTGACTTATGACTGTTTTTCACATTTACGACTGTTGCAACATCTCCATGGCTATTTGATTCATATTCAGACACTTGATAACTGACTCATATTTATGACAGTGGAGTGTCCCAGAGTCATGTGATCACCTTTTGCCACCTTTTGACAAACAAAGTCAATGGGGAAGCCAGATTCACTTAACAACCATGTTACTGACTTAACAACTGCAGCAATTCACTTACCAATTGTGGTAAGAAAGATCATAAAATGGCCAACAGTCGATATGGTGGCACATGTATATGCAGCGGCTCGACACTCCAGAGACCGGTATTTTTTAATTAATTTATTATGTTTGGGCAGTTTTAGGAGTGGGGAATTGTGGTGGGTGGGAGTGTGTTTGGGGATTATGTGTGTAGGACCTGGTCTTTGGGTTTCACATAAATTTCGTTGTACGTGTATACTGTGTGTACACACAATGACAATAAAGTTTATTATTATTAATGGAATCCTGATTTGCCTTTCTGTTTCTTCCATTTGGACAAACCAGGAAGTAAGAACTAGTTCTTCCTTCTGCCCCACCATCCAGTCAAAGCTGATGAAACTTTTTGGATGAGAAGTGAAATGTCTTCTTCTTCAAGGAAAAAACATAGTCTAGTTGCCTTTTGACAATATTTAATATTTATTTGCTATGTATATGTAGGGGTATGGGTCTATACATATGTTTGTACGTAGTATGTTTTAGGTGTGTGTCATGTATGTGTTTCACTTTGACAACAGGCAACTAAATTTCATTTTTGATGTGTGCGGTTGTGCCCACAGTAAAAAAATGACAATAAAGGTTATCTTATCTTAAAAAAAGCACCTTTGAGACAGCCATCACCTGGATAACTGAGAATTTCCATAGACAGGAAGTAAGAAGTTCAAAGTTATAACATCTGTAGAATTCAACTTAACTAAGCAGGGGGATTTATCTAAATCAGAAAAGAGGTTAAGGCATCTCCTTTAAGGCATAAATGAGTTCTGTAATGTTTCATTGAAGAAAAAAAAAAGATTCTCAGCAAAAAAATTCAGCAAAAAAAAAAATCTCTTCAGGATCTTTTGGATTCCCTACTTGAAGTTTTAAAAATATTGAATGTCACTCTTTTTATGCTAGAGGTGTAATAAGTTCGAAGGGACTTGGGTATTTGTCTTATGGGCTTGTTCACTTGTAAATTCTTATAGGGTAAATATTATTACAATGATTAACCAGGTTCTTGAAGGCAGCATGGGTTACAGATTATTATATCCCAACAATCTGGAAATCTTCCATCTCTGGAGATCTTTGAATGTATCAAGCTTGTAAAAATTGTTAAAATAGTGTTTATGCCCTTCTATAAAAGTTGCTTTAAAACTTTGAATTTAGTCTGTATCCACTTTTTTAATGGACTTTTTAAAATGGGCTTTTAATGGACTCTTCCATTTATTTTTAATCTTTTTTTTTCTTGGTATAATGTAGGATTTTTTTCTTTTTTCTTTTAGTATAGATTTTTATACAATAGGTTAGGTTCTCCTTTCAAACAGGCACAGTCTTTTATTTGTAGCTCATGTAGATTATCTGTAATGTTTAACAATAACATTTTTAAACAAATGCTAATTGCAATGCTTTTAAAATGGACTTAAATGAAAAAGGGAGTTAGAAAAGAAAGGAGAAGAGGTTCTTGGAGAAAGGGCAAAAAATAAAAGAATCGTAACCAAAGGAGACCAGCAAGATTTTTAAACTTTCCTCTGGGTCCTACTGTGAGGCTGTTGTAGAGAGACCACAAGAATTCATAGAAAAATCTCCCCCTTGAAGGCTTAAGCACAAATACTCAGGGACAATTTGCTGGCTGGGGAATTATCGGAGTTGAAGTCCACATATCTTAAAAGTTGTCAAGGCTGAGTAACACTGCTCATAGCAAAGCCTTGATTAACCTATGTCCAACTTCTTGCCAGGCTATGTAGTCTAGAATAGGGCTCTCAACCTTGGCAACTTTAAGACTTGTGGACGTCAACTCCCAGAATTCCTCAGCCAGCAAAGCTGGCTGAGGAATTCTGGGAATTGAAGTCCACAAGTCTTAAAGTTGCCAAGGTTGAGGAGTCCTGGTCTAGAACAGCTGGAGAATTCTCTGCCCTAAAGGGTATTGTCTCTTCATTATAACTTTATTATTGTTCCATGACTGCCCTGAATGGTTTTTTTTTTAAATTAAAAATAAATAAAATGCAAAGCTTTTTCAGAAGATAATTATTGAAAATTAATCTTTTTTTTTTTTACATTCATGGATTAAGTGGCAAAATAGATTGCAAAGGGAAATCTTTTTCCCATTTGGCAGCTGAAATCCTCCTGCTCCTGTTCTGCTTAAGGAACTTGCTTGCTTTGAGACCAGAGGGCATGACTGTGATTGTCATAAGGGCAGAGTAAATATGGTTTTAAAGGCCAGGCTTATTATTATGATTAAAGTGATGTTCCAAAATGCAGAAGAGTTTGTCACAATCCAGTGGTCATTGCCCAGATTCCAGTTTTCTCACAGAGAGTTTCAATTCACGATAATTTGGTCAAAATATAATCCTTTTGGTTCCCTGGGTTAAAATCTTATCTACTAGGACAGGGGTGTCAAACTGCCGGCCCGCAGGCCAGATGCGTCACGTAGAAGCCATGCCTACCCCATTGCCAGCAATGGCAAAGTCGGCCCAATATGTTGCGCAATGTCATGTGACATCACGAGTTTGACTTGCCTGCACTAGGAGTTAAAAATAACTTGATGGGACATAATAAAAAAAATAATGGCATTATATTTTACCCAACTTATGTCAAGGTGTTTAACACTGGCAGCTCATCTCTTTTCTCTTAAAGTCTACATAGCAAGAAAATACAAGAAGCTTGTTTATATTCCTTATGTGTGAATCCACCCAATTATGGGATTTCAACATATAATCAGTAAATGCATT